GATGATGGTTTTATAACAAAGTAAATAAATTCTAAGATAAATTGAATTGAAGCAGTCGACGAAAATGCCTATTTTATTGAAACAAAATTAGGTCGACCAAAATTATTTATATTAAAATCGTTTATAACATAATTACTAAAATAATAGATTTAATAGATCTTTATAAATTTTGGGAAAAACAAATGGGTATATACAAAATTCCTCCTTCAAAAACTTTATATTTTTCAACTTATGTAATAGAAAATGAATAAAAGGAATTAATATTTTAAAAAGCTAAAACGCAATATACAATTCGTAATATTTTGCTTTTTATAAAACTCCTTTTTTCGATAACAATTGTGACTAAGTCCCTATACCAAAAAATTATGTTTAAGAAGTGTCAGCATATTGTAATACACAGCATATTATTGTTTTAAAAGATAAATTATATTTTGACTCCGCGTTTATGATTTATAAAGGAAAAAAATACAAAATGAGCGAATTTCCGTACAATAAGTGTATATATATAATTGATATTGATAATGATATTGGCCTTACTATATAAAAATAAGGTACATAAATAAGGGTAGTTTTAGCTTAATTAACCTTTAATGGAGATATAGTTACTTTGTCAAATAAGCTGAAACTACGCTAAAAAAAATTTTATATGTCTGATATTTTCGATTTTGGAATTGGAAAAAAAATAATTTGCTTTGGGACTTCTGATACTTGGAAATTTTACGATTTGCTTACATATAGGGAAGTAAAGATGTCTACAGATAGTTCGCCGATTAAATTCGGAGAATATTATGATATTTTGTCTTATTAATCGGTCATTATTTTTGGAAATATCGTGTATGATATATCTTATGATAAAATTTTAAATAGAGTCCGTGTAATCTAAAGAAAGGATTAAAAAAATAAATATTACACACTTCCTATAATAGACCATAGGTACAGATATTTTTTTTCAAAAGGAAAAACTTTAATTGCGGATGATGAAAATCATGATGATAAAAATGTCTACTTATATTCAATTGAAAATATAATTTGTAGAGATACTGAGCATATAACTAGTAATCTAAAATGTGTTTAATGCAAAAATAATGAATATTTTAAAGATGATATATGTTTAGGTTGCCCACAAGGAACTTTTTTTGAAATAATATATGTATTGCATGTATGCAAGATGTATATCATGTGATAATAAAACTACTTGCATTATATGTGATTAAGTTATTATAAAATATTTGACGATGTAACCTTGTAATATTAATTGTAAACTTGTCAAATGATAATCCAGATATATGTGCTTCTTGTAATTCACCTAAAGTTTTACAAATAAAAAACTAAACATGTGTAGATGCTTGTGATAGTAATTAATATTTAGATAATACTCAAGTTGATATACCTAAATGTAGGGATTGCATTAATTTATGTCTTAAATGTGTAGACGCAAATTCTTGTTAACTTTGTGTAAATGGCAATTTTTTTAATACAAATACTTTGAAATGTGAACCATGTGATGCTTAGTGTACTACATGTGAAAACGGTACTGATAATACTAAATGCCTGTCCTGCTCACCTCCTTTATATTACCAATAACTGGAAAAAAAATGCGTTAGGAATTGCAATTAAGGCTAATATGCGAACTCTTAAAGTGGTTTATGTGAATTATGTGATCCGAATTGCTAAACTTGCAAAGATTCAAAGACTTCTTGTCTTACTTGTAATAATAATTAATATTTATAAACTAACTAAACTTGCAAAGATATCTGTTTACCCAAATAATATCCGGATAATGCGAGAAAATGCTAGCCGTGTAATGCATCATGCTTATCATGTATTAATAATACTTCATGTTCTACATGTGCTGATGATAATTATTTAAATCCTTTAACTTAATTTTGCTCACCTTGCTCCGCTAACTGTAGAACTTGTGTTAATAATGCTGATACTTGTACATCCTGTATTAAGGGCTAATATTTAAATACTGATACTAATAGATGTGAACAAATGTAACGCAAAACTGTGTAGCGTGCGAAAAACGGACCCCACTAATGATTAATGTACGGAATGCTAACTTAATAATTTTCTCACTTAAGACAGAAAAATGCGTTATTTCTTGTTAATAAAATTAATATGCAGATGCTTTAAGGACATGCTAATAATGCAATGCGACTTGTCTTACATGTTAAAATGCTATTTCGTGTAACACATGTAATGCGGGATATTATATAAACACAAGGAGTAATTTATGTGAAAAATGTGATGATAATTGTCAAACATGTGAAAATGGAATAGTAAATAATTAATGTATTACATGTAATAATAATTAAGTTCTTTTATAAACTAAAAAATGTGTCGATAATTGCGATAATAAATAATATGAGGATTTAAATAAAAATTGTTAGTAATGTGATCCTACGTGTCTTACTTGTTCGAATTCTAATACATGTGATACTTGTGAGGAAGGATCATACTTAAAAAGAAGTACATAAAAATGCGAATTATGTGACTTAAATTGTAAGACGTGTATAGAAAAGGGCAAATGTGTATCTTGTAAATAGAATTATTTTCTAACCTAAGATTAATAATGTAAACTTGAATGTGATTATCTTTTTTCCCGATTCTTAAGGAAATTGTTAACCATGTGATTCTAATTGTTTAAATTGTAAACAATTTAATTAATGTACAGAATGCTTTTAGGGACTCTATTTATTTAATGGATTTTGTAGTAATGAAATTTATTGCTAAGAGAATACTTACTTAGACCAAAATGAGTGCAAAACAGAATGTCCTTAAAATAAATTTAAAAATCTAGAGACTAATACATGCGATCCTTGCCATTTCTCATGCAAAAGATGCACGGAAGCAGGCAATATTAAATGCTTGGAGTGCGAAAATGGACTTGCTTTGAATGAAGATGGTAAATGTGAGAAAAAAGTATAAGAAACAAATGCGACTACTAGTAAGTTGATGTTTAAAGTATATCTTGTAGTTACTATATATATATTAATCGCCTGTATAATTTGCCATTTTTTAGATTATAAATCCTATTTTAGAAATAGGAAAGTGAAAAATTTCGAAGAAGAAGATTGCAAACCGAAAATAGAAAAATCTTAATTGGAACGCGTAAAAGACCATATTGCTGCAATATAAATGCAGAAGAAAATGTAAACAAAGAAAATTAAAGGTAAAGGCTAAGGTCTAAATCAGATATTCAAAAAGCAAATTAATAAATAGAATAAATAGACATAAAATCACAAAAGAATAATAATAAAATTAATAGAAATCCAAGAAAATAAAGTAATTATATAAGTTAAAGTTAAGCTTGCCCTGATTAAAATACTTAAAATATGTCTGAATTTAAAAATTTTATCGATAAATAGATTATATAAAATAATAAGAATAAGAAAAACAATACAAATGTTATTTTATTTAATGATATTTAAAATGAAAATAATAATATAAATAAAGTTAATAGAATAAATATAAATCATAATTATTATTAATATGACTAGAAATTATATTTTACAATTATTGCGAATGAATTTTTGGAAATGTATTTAATATAAGACTATACACGAAATTCTTTAATTAGGGCTTTATTAATGTATTTTAAATAATGCTTATTTATGCTAGTTTGCTTTTATTATAATATGAAAGGACATTTTTATTTGGCAATTTTAATATTTATGTGTATTTTAATAAAATAATGTTTAAAAAAATTAATTGAAAATATAAATCTTTTAAAGTGCCTTAGATACATAGTTTCAAAGTTAATTTTTCTAACGATTTTTATGATATTCTTTATTTTATTTATTTTAAAAAAGTGTAGTATTATTAATGATTAAGAAGATTAATAATGGACTACTTGTTATTTAAAAGTTTTTGCTATAGATTTAATTTTAATTTAGAATATAATTTCATTTTTAAACTATTATTCGAGTATAAGAAGTTTGAAAGGATATAATGATACATTATAGAAATTCTTAGATTATGTATTTGATTATAATAATATAATAAATTAAATAAAAATAAAAGAAATAAAAGAAATATA